TTCAGGGAAACACCTCTCCAAAGACAAAGGAACCAGCAGGTGCCACTTCCCTCCTGCACCCCTCAGCATAAACACAGAGCTACCTGCAGAGAGCAGCTCAACCCCAACACAGGCTGCCTAACCTGCTTACACTAAGTCCCACAGCCCTGCACTCTGAGCATGACAGCCCTTCTCTGTCAAGCTTGCCTCAGTCCCAGCAAGGTGGAACCCTCCCCCAGAAGATGAGTGCAGGCCCGTGTCCACACCATATCCTTAAAGCCTGGAGTTTTAAAAATCAGCAGGCTTGATGGGGATAGAGCCCCGAAGGGCACTGTGCTTCTCCTGGAGAGAAGGTAGGCAACCAACCAGGAGGTGGACAGTGTGGAAAGAGCAATCTGAAAAACTCCTGGGACATGGGGGTGGGAGGTGGAGGCGGGGACTATTCTCTCTTCTCAGTGTGCTTCCCTGAGGAGCAGCATCCACAGAGGCACCACTCTAGGGCCAAAGGAGCTGGTTGATGCAATACCCCCTGACCACCACCACCACCACCAGCAGAAACACAGAGCAGCCTGCAGCAAGCAGCATAGCACCAACACTGGCTGCCTAACCTGCTTACACTGAATCCCACACCCCTCCACTCTGGCAGTACCACCTTTCTCAGTCAAACTTGCCTCAGGCCCCGTGCAGTGGTGGCACTCTTCCCTAGAAGACCAGCAGAAATCCCTGCCCACACCATGTCTCCCAACCAGAGTTCTGCAGGGCTTCAGTTCTAGTGGAGTAGTATCAGGTCTCATTTAACAAGCACACCAGAGCACACCTAGTTAAAACTTATCATGTTTTGGCCCAGACCAAACAGTGCCCACTGCAGATAAGGAGAGCCTCTGCAGACAACTGACTTGAGGGATACACCAGCCAAAATACAACAGCTGAGTGCACATAGCACACATCAGAGACACTCCCTGAAGCACCAGGCCCTGGACACTATATGACTTCATAAAGCCATTAGTCTCAAGAGCGGGAAACGTAATGGGCTTTTCTAATACACAGAATAAGGCAGAGACTTAGAAAAAAGGCCAAGATGGAGGATTTATCCCAAATGAAAGAACAAGATAAGGTCATGGCCAGGGAGCTAAATAAAGCAGACATAAGTAACATGTCTGATGGAGAACTTAAAGCAACAATCATAAGGATACTCACTGGGCTTGAGAAAAGAGTGGAAGACATCAGGGAGACCCTTACCACGGAGATAAAAGAGTTAAAAAAGAATCAGTCAGAAATGAAAACTACAATAACTGAGATTGGAAACAGACTGATGCAATGAACACAAGGCTGGAAAGAGCAGAGAAATGAATAAGTGATATAGAGGACAAAATAATGGAAAATAAGGAAGCTGAACAAAAGAGAGAAAGAAGAATTATGGAACACCTCAGTAGACTTAACAAAACTCAGTGACTCCATCAACATAATAACATTCATATTATAGGAATCCCAGAAAAAGAAGAGAGAGAAAAGGGGACAGAAAATTTATTTAAGGAAATCATAGCTGAAAATTTCCCTAATGTGGAAAAGGAAACAGACATCCAGTTCCAGAAGCCACAGAAAACTCCCATCAAAACCAACAAAAGCAGGTCAAAACCAAGACATATTGTAATTAAATTTGCAAAACATGGTGATAAAGAAAAAATTTTAAAAGCAGCAAGACAAAAGAAGTCCTTAACTTACAAGGGAAGACCCATAATGCTAGCTGAAGATTTCTTGGGAGAAACTTGTCAAGCCAGAAGTGAGTGGCATGATATATTCAACATGCTGAATGGGAAAAATCTGCAGCCAAGAATACTCTATCCAGCAAGGCTATCACTCATAACAGAAACAGAGATAAAGAGTTTCCCTGACAAAAAGGAAAGGAGTTCAGGACCACTAAACCACCCTGCCAGAAATATTAAAGGGGACTCTTTGAGTGGAAAGAAAAGACCAAAAGTGACAAGACAAAAAAGGAACAGGGAAAAGCTACAGAAAATAAGTAATAAAGTGACACCAAATACATATCTATCAATAATTACTCTGAACACAAATGGACTAAATGCTCCAATCAAAAGACATAGGGTATCAGAATGGATTAAAAAAAAAAAAACCAAGACCCATCTATATGCTGCCTACAAGAGACTCATTTTAGACCTAAAGACACATGCATATTGAAATTGAGGGGATGGAGAAACACTTACCATCATCAAATGGAAGTCAAAAGAAAGCTGCAGTAGCAATACTTATATCAGACAAACCAGATTTTAAACCAAAGAATGTAACATGAGATGAAGAAGGGCACTATATCATAATATGGGGGACTATCCAACAAGAAGATCTAAGAGTTGTAAATATTTATGCACCAAACATGGGAGCACCCAAATATATAAAGAATTAATAAGAAACACAAAGGAACTCATTGATAATAATACAATAATTGTAGGGAACTTTAACACACCACTTATGTCAATGGACAGATCATCTAAGCAAAAAACCAACAAGGAAACAATGGCTTTGAATGACACACTGGGCCAGATGGACTTGACAGATATATTCATAACATTTCATCTCGAAGCAGCAGAATACACATTCTTTTCCAGTGTACATGGGACATTCTCTAGAACGGATCACATACTAGGTCACAAATCAGCCCTTAACAAGTACAAAAAGACTGAGATCATACTATGCATCTTCTCCAACCACATCACTATGAAACTTGAAGTCAACCACAAGAAAAAATTGGAGAAGACCACAAATACATGGAGGTTAAACAACATGCTACTAAACAATGAATGGGTCAACCAGGAAATCAAGGAAGAAATAAAAAAGTACATGGAAACAAATGAAAATGAAAATGCAATTGTTCAAAACCTTTGGGATGCAGGAGAAGCAGTCTGAAGCGGGAAGTATATAGCAATACAGACCTACCTTAAGAAGCAAGAGAAATCTCAAACAACAACCTAACCTTATACCTAAAGGAGCTAGAAAAAGAACAAATGAAGCCTAAAGCCAGCAGATGAAGGAAACTAATAAAAATTAGAGCAGAAATAAATGATATAGAAACAAAAAAAAATAGAAGAGTAATGAAACCAGGAGCTGGTTCTTTGAAAAAATTAATAAAATTAACAAATCCCTAGCCAGACTTATCAAAAAGAAAAGAGAAAGGACCCACATAAATAAAATCACGAATGAAAGAGGAGAGATCCACAACCAACATCACAGAAATACAAACAAATACAAACAATTATAAGAACATATTATGAGCAACTATATGCCAGCAAATTAGATAATCGGGAAGAAATGGATGCATTCCTAGAGATGTATAAACTACCAAAGCTGAACAGGAAGAAATAGTAAACTCAAATAGACTGATAACTGTATTGTTCTTGCAAGAACTGTATGGTTCTTGATAACCAGCAAAAAAAAAAAAAATCAGAAATCAAAAATCTCCAGAACCAGACGGCTTCATAGATGAATTCTACCAAACATTTAAAGAAGAGGTAATACCTATTCTCAAACTCTTCCAAAAAATAGAAAAGTAAGGAAAACCTCCGAATTTATTCTATGAGGCCAGCATTACCTTGATACCATAACCAGATAAAGATTCCACTAAAAGAGAACTACAGGCCAATATCCCTAATGAATATGGATGCAAAAATTCTCAATAAAATACTACCAAATCAAATCCAGTATTACATTAAAGGAATCATTCACCAAAATCAAGTGGGATTTATTCCTGTGCTACAAGGGTGCTTCAATATTCACAAATCAATCAACCTGACACACCACATTAATAAAAGAAAGGATGAGAACCCTATGATCCTCTCAATAGATGCAGAAAAATCATTTGACAAAGTACAACATCCATTCATGATAAAAACCTACAACAAAGTAGGGTTAGAGACAATATACCTCAACATAATAAAGGCCGTGTATGAAAAACCCACAGCTAATATCATCCTCAATGGGGAAAAACTGAGAGCATTTCCTCTATGGTCAAGAACAATACAGGGATGTCCACTCTCACCACTTTTGTTTAAAATAGTATTGGAAGTCTTAGCCACAGCAATGAGACAACAAAAAGAAATAAAAGGCATCCAATCAGCAAGGAAGATATAAAACTTTCCCTATTTACAGATGACATAATACTCTATATAGAGAACCTGAAATACTCCATCAAAAAAAACTGCTAGCACTGATATACAAATTCAGTGAAGTCACAGGATATACAATCAACATACAGAAATCTGTTGCATTTCTATACATCAATAATGAAGCAGCACAGAGAAATTAAAGAATCAATACCATTTACAATTGCACCAAAACCCATTAGATACCTAGGAATAAACCTAACCAAAGAAGTGAAAGATCTGTACTCTGAAAACTATAGAACACTTATGAAAGAAATTGAAGAGGACCCAAAGAAATGGAAAAGCATTCCAGGCTCTTGGATTGGAAGAACAAACACTGTTTAAATGTATATACTACCCAAAGCAATCTACACATTTAATGCAATCCATATCAAAATACCATCAGCATTTTTCACAGAGCTAGAGCAAACAATCCTAAAATTTGTATGGAACCACGAAAGTCCCGGAATAGCCAAAGCAACCTTGAAAAAGAAAAGCAAAGTTGGAGGTATCACAATTCCAGACTTTACATTACAAAGCTGTAGTAATCAAAACAGCATGGTATTGTCACAAAAACAGACACATGCTTCACATTGCTGGTGGGCCTGGGAATGCAGCCACCTGGAGGGAGTGGGAGAAGGGCTGGGGGCAATGATGGAGGAACCCTATGCAAGGGCCACGGTTTGGGGCCCCATTTCCTGTGAAGGCCTTTGCCCTTTGAATGGTCTTGTTTCCTGCAGATCAGCTAGGGCTCCAAATTCCAGATAGGGCATTGCATGGCCCAAGAAGTCAAGGACTAACAAAGGCAGTCCAACTACTATTTGGAGCAGAAAAGACACTACAGGACCAAAGAAGATCAGTGGTACATACCTTAGAGTGGGCTGTCGGGATCCTTCCTCCCAGCAAGCCGTTCTTTCCAGGGGAAGAGAAACTCGGTTGCTAGCCCCAGGACTGTCACTGGGTTTCCAGACTCCAGGTTGGAAATCTCCAAGCCAAAACTTGGGGGAAAGGGGGTTTTGGGGGGACACAAGGGGTGAATGGTGTCAGAAGACCTACAACAGAAGGATAAAACCCTTCAAAGCTTCTAGATTAGTTAGGACTAGGCACCATGGAACACAGCCTTCTTGGATGTGCTACAGAGTAGAATCCATTCTCTCTGTGGCTCCAGGACCTCAAGGTTTATTATAAATAATAAAAGTTAACACTCTTTGAGGACTTACTATATACCAAAGAATGTTCAGTCACTGTATGAGTTTTGTCTCAGGCCTCTCAACAGCTCTGTTTATCATCCAATCTCTTTACAGATGAAGAAACCAAGTCACAGTAAGCCCAAGTATCTTGCTCAAAATAGCTTGGCTAGAAAGTCTTAGCCTGGCTTTAAATTCTGGCTGTAGAAGGTCATGCACTTAACCAGTCAGCCTAGCTGTAAGTCAGTCCTCAAGTGAGGTTGGGGGTTTGGATACAGCAAGACTGGCCATGAGTTGGTAAGTGTGGGATCTGGGAGATAGATTCATGAGGGTACCTTGCATTACTTTCTCTACTAAAGTGAATGTTTGAATTTTTTCCATAATATAAAGTTCAGGGGCACCTGGCTGGCTCAGTGGGTAGAGCACACCATTCTTGATCTCAGAGTTGTGAGTTCAAGCCCCAGGATGGGTGTGGAGCCTACTTAAAAAAAAAAAAAAAGTCATAAAGTTCAAAATAAAGGTCCCAATGCCCGAGGTCCACCAGAGACGCCTATATCATTGAATTAGGTGTCAGCTAACAGCCACCAGGGGCTGTGACAAAGAGGTCTAGACCCAGTAGCCACCACCTTACCTCCCCCACCCCCCCATCACCGAATTCACAGTCCTCACAGTCCTCACCCTGAGAGTAGCCAGTTAACACCCACTGTCTAAAGAGGAACCAGGCAAACCAAACTGGTCACCCAGGTTTCCAGCCAAACCCAAAGACCTTTGAACCAAGCCAATATCCCCCACCAGAAACAAAGCATAGGGCAACAAACCTGTAGAAAGTAAGTTGTCCTAACCACCCAAAAACACCCTACATACTCCCCACCTACTCCCACTCCAACCCATTCACACCTGGGAACGTTTAGCAGTTTCCTCTAAACCAAACCTTGTCCCACTCTCCAAAATCCCGGGGACCCATGACCCAAGCAACCCCCCTTTCCCACAATTGGGCAGTGGGTGCTAGCCTGAGGCTAGCAAACACCTTGACTTCATTTAGGTCAGAGCTCCAACCCCGCCCAGGCTTCATGCCCCTCTCCTCCCATAAAAACTCTGGGGAATCACACCGCCCCTCACCACCACCAGGGGATGTTTGCTCACAAACCAGGGCTATGTCAACCCCACAAAAACCTTAGGGTCTGCCCCACACACCACGTGAACAGAAAATTAGAGCCGGGCCACCACTACCACCAATACGGTGGCCTAGAACAGACCCGCACCACCCTCCAAAAAAGAAAATCCTGGACCAGCAGTCCTGGGGCCCCTGCTCAAGGCAGGCCCTGCAACCCAAGGATTGACCGCCAAGCCTCGCCACCCCAATTCATTCCTCTAATTCACTCCTCAAGCTGCGAGTTAACCCTCCCCCCAATGAAAAACAATCGAGATCGCCACCATAAGCCTCGCCAGAGACCCCCAACCGCAGCCTCTCCTGACTCTCCTCCACCCCCACCTCGCTCACGCCCCAAAGCTGAAGGACAGTGGGTGGGCCAGCACCCTTCACTGCCCGGCTTGCAGGAGCACCGGGACTAAGTCCCCACAATCCTTTGAGGGCCTGGACCGCCGTGGGCGCTTCTGAGAGGACGAGGCCACGCCTCCTGAACTACAGCAGCTGGTGGCTCCTTTGCTGTTTTCTCAAAACAAGGCCGGTGGTGGGCTCTCAAGTGAAGCCCACCCTCTTCAAACTCCTTCGCCGCAAAGACTTACACTCCCCCCGAGTCCCTTGCGGTCGCTTCCGCCTGCCTGGCCCTTCTGGCGGAAGTACGTAGCGCGCCTGCGCAGCGTTTTATTGGTGGTGGTGGTGGTGGGTTTGGCAGTGTTTGCTCGGGCTTACGTCCGGGCGGGGCTTGGTTCTCCCGCTTAGCTCCGTGGGCTTCCACGTTACATTTGGAAGCTTAGGTTGGAAAAGGTATAGCCATCTCGCCGCGGTCAGCCATTACAAGGTAGACCCAGGACGCAGAGCCTGCACTCTTGGCGCTCGTAGCCTCTTTTCGAAAGACCCACGGTTAGTGCCAAACACTCAACCCAGCTGCTGGGAGCGGGGTCTCACTCTTCCTGAGGATTGGGCTGCACTGGCGCCCTCTGCCACCCTGTCCCCAATTCCGTAACCCTCTTCAGCGCATAGGGAGGGCGATCCACCCAGGCACCCCAGGCCCGCCTTCTCCAGGGGAGAGCCGGATAATGGCCGTAGGGCCTCTGAGGGCCAACGTCCCTGAAACTCCTTCCCGCCGCGCCTGACAGTAGGCCCATTGCCTCCTCTTAGGCTGGAGGCAGCCTTGCTGGGACCGGGAAAAGACAGCCCTGGAGGGGTCACCCATCTTATCTGGTGCCTCCCTAAAAACCAACCCTAATCCAGGTGTGACACACGCAGCAGTGAACGGCGACCAGCCCACGCTAGAGCAGGTTAAATGAAAGCAACGGGACATCCATGCCTAAATGCCCTGTGACAAAAGTCAAGGACAGAGACTGCAGAGTTGGCTGAATCCTGGAGAAAGTGGGTGTGCAGGAGGAGAAGCCGTCTGACCCACCTTCCGCGAGGCCGAAAACCCACGGTCCCAGTCAGAGGCCGAGCCCTGGCCGCTAAGTGGGGGGTTGTTAATGGCCAAAAATCTGTTCTGTGCGTAGAACCGAGAAGGCCAACTCTCTCCGCTGGTTTTGGCCTGTATTTTGTATTTGCATTTTCAGTATTTAATCACGGAAAGTTTCTACTTAGAGCTCTGAACTCTCTGAAACACAGAACTTCTCTGAAAACTTCTCTCAAAACAGCCATTTCCGCGCGCTCATCTTCATTATTTCCTTCTGCTGGCTTTAGGCCGCTGTTTGTTTTCTGCCCTGGAGTTCTCTGGTTCCCAGGAGGTTTGCATACAATGTTTCATAGATAAAAATACGCCTTTTTCTGCTGATGGCAATTTATCTATATTTGCTGCTACGAGTGTCCCTGCCTCTGCTCCCCCAGTTCTGCCACCTACACACGACCCCTGGGGGCGCCCCCAGATCTGGCGAGTGGGGGTACTGGGGTTCTCCGCAGAGACTTGCCCTAGGTGCCCCAGGGACCGTGAGCAGGAGGCGCGGACACACCCCCTCTGCTGGCTCGGGGTCCCCGCCTGAGCTGTAACTCACCAGGGTTGAAAACAAGAGTTGGGGGCGAGAAAAACGACTTAAGAGACCAGAGTCCCGGCCTCTTATCCTGCTTGGAACTTTGCATTCCGGGCTCTGAAAGGCAGCTGGATAGTGTGCGGCCCAGGACATTGACAGGGGAACAGCGCTCCTTTGTGGTCAATGTTTGGTGGCCTCGAAGATGATGGGAAAACCTCACAAGTTGGTGAAACTCCCTAATAGGCGAATCACAGAGACAGCGGGGCATATGAATACCCTTATGAGGAAATTAGAGCAATGGAACATTGTTTCTCCTACCAGACTGGGAAAAGTTATAAAAAATAGATTATGGCCATCATAAACTGCCAGGTGGGAAATTAAAAATGAGATGCTCTCCCTGGGAGCTTTTTGGAACAAGGAATCAAAAGGCTTTCTTAAAAGTGCATCCACTTTGATCTAGCTATTCCTTTTTTTATGGATTAATCTTTAAGTAGGAAAAGGGGTAGTAAGTTAAAGGATTACACAGAAGCATTGCTTATCATAGCAAAATTAAGAAAAATATGCAATTGTTTAAACACATTAGTAAGATCCATATAATGGACAATGATGCAATTATTAAAAATGATACTCTGACTATTTTGTCATTGAAATGACTACAAACGTTGCTAAATTAACTAAAACAGGGTTTAAAACAATATGTTCACTCTTGTCACAGGCGGGGTTCTTCAGAGCAGATGGAGAGACCATGGGTGGGGAGAAGCAGCAATTAGGGATACACATCTATGAAAGAAGCCAGCAGAAGCCGGCTTGGGCAGAGGGAGAAGTTAAACCATAATGCAGGCTTAGCAGAACCTCAGCCAGCCAACAGGGACTCCAGAACAAGCATGACCCATCAGTTGGCTAGGTCAGCACGCGGTGGCCAGATCTTTATACCCACGCTTCTCCCAGGCACAGGAAGGGGCTGCCAGGGAAGGGCCTGACCTCAGGAGCCATCCCTCTGCTGCTGAAGCCAACTGCTGAAGCTGATAGCCAAGGGCTGTGCAAGGAACAAACTCCTCACAGGTGAGCAAGCAAGTCCCCCCTTCAAGGTAGCGCATCTCTGCATCCACCACATTATATGTGTCTATGATATATATTTTCAGAAAATAAATTACACCTGTCTGGGCCCATGGAAAAAAATCTGAAGGAAGATAAAACAGGGACTCCAGTAAAACAACTCTCAAAAAGTGAAGAAGCCTGTGATGGTTAATTTTATGTGTCACCTTGACTGACCATGGTGATGTAGTTTCAGAATGTCTTAATGAGGTCTGGAGCGGTCGGCCAAGAAAGAATTGTTGAGATGTCTTTGGTGCAAAAAGGGTGATTTTATGAAAGCAGGGGAGACAGGACCCGTGGGCAGAAAGAGCACTGGGGCTGTGAGGAATGGCTGATTATACACTCGGGAGTTGGGGGAGGTAAGGACAAAGGGAGGTGTCCAAAAGGACTTTCATATGCTGAAGAAGATTCAGGATTCTGGAGGTGTTGCTATTGTCAAGTTAAGGTCGTTTTTCCTTCTAGTGAGGCATTAACAGTAAGACAGTTGGGAGATTCCTGAGGAATGCTGTACTCTATTACAAGTCCATGTCAATAGGCTGCAGGTTATAAAGAAGTTTAATTTTATTTACATTCCCTTTTATCTCTGTTTCCCACGTCACTGTGGAGGGGAGGGTAATGTTAGGACTCCAGGAAATTGGTTCTCTGGGTCTCTGGAAGTTAGGTTATTGATAAGAATGCTTTTTCCTTGTAAATCACTAGAACACTGGTAAACTGATAAAGACTCACGTCCTCTGATTTTTATCAGTTCACCATTTGCTTTTCCCTTCCTTAGCTTTAGGGCAGCCAGAACTGCCTGAGGAATGCCACACACAACCCACCCTGTGGGGGCTGGAGTGAGGTGTCGGCTCTGGGAGGGATAGGCTCAAAGCCGAGTCAGAGTTCTGAAACTGAGCCTCCTGTTACAGGCTGATCTGCCCCACTGAGTAGAGCTCCAGCAAGACTTAAGAGAGGCATCCTTTGTCTTCCAGGCAGCCCCTGGTATCCATAGCCTCAAGCACCATCCCACCAGGACTGAGTCCTGAATACCTGCCCCACATAGAAGTCTAGTCTCCAGGAAATGCTATTTTAGCTGGAGGCCTTTGCGCCTGCTGCCTGAGCAGGGCAAGTGCTCCCTCCTTCCTCTGTCCCGAGCAGAAAGTCTCCTGACTACCCAGAATAAAGGGATCCACAGACATCTCAGGAAAGGATATCCCGCAGAAC